CCCCCCCCCCCTTTCCCCCGTTACTGCGAGCACCCAGCGTTGCTCTGCCCCGAGCCGGCTCTCCCCATCGCCGGGACCTTCCGGGCTTTGCCTGGGGGGAGTTTTGCAGGAAAACGGGCTGTTTTTGCAGCGCCCACCCAGCGAACACCCCGGGGAGCATCTGCATGGAGCAAGCGGGCCCATCCTCACCTAATTACGCCCGTTTAACCCTACCCGTGTGGTGCCTCCCGCTGTGTTTCCCGTGTTTTCCTCAGTAGACTTTAAGCAGAAGCCTTGGCTTCTTGCAGCAGCCCTTACAACCTCCCTCTTTTCTTTCCCGTTAGCTGAAGAAGAGGCGAATGAGGAAGACGTCCTGGGAGAGGAGATAGAGGTGGGTGCTTGCCGGGGCGATCCCAGCAGCCGCCCGCGGCTTCTGCCGCCTCTCACCTCCAGGTGGCCCTGGGGACATCGTGTGACAACTCGGTGCAACCCTAGAGCCTTTAATGTAACTCCCCGTTGTGTCCCAAATAGCTGGTTTCTCACACCACTGGCCGTGTTGCCCCATTAGCGTGCAGGGGCTGTCAACGCACGGCGTCGTTGCGAAGGATTCTTGAGAAATGGGTAGTTTGGGTATTTCCAAATGGGTAGTTCCACTCTTTGGTGGTTGTAGCTGTGCTGAATAGGAGACCCACTCTACGAGCCGCTCGTTTTTTGTCCTCAATAGCTACTGTGGGTGGCATTTTTTTGTGTTTTTTAGGAAAGAAGGCGCTTGAGGAAGGAGGGAAGGTGGTGCAGGCTGCTCTGGGTCGCCTGGGGCAGGGAGCCGTAAAGCTGAGGGGTTTATTTTGCCAGAAGGGTAAAGGGATCCAGGCGGAAAAAGGGCTCAGTGTGTAAAATTCTAGAAAAAGAAGAAAGTTTCTACTTGTTACTGTCAAGATTTTTGCTGCGTGGGAAAGGTGTACGAGTTGCATGGAAAATATATTTTTCCCCACCCCTTTGCAGAGGAATTAAGGGAAATAAAGGGAATTTTCTGAAGGGAAATAAAGCCAGAGAAGGGAGCAGCCTTAGGAAAACCACTAGGAGCCCACGTGCGTGAAAACTGCCACTGCTCAAATGCCGATGCTCTGAGGCCGTGACCACGTAATATTATTCCTTGCTACAAACGTTGCCTCGTTGAAGAGCTTAAACAGCCCTGGGGCAGAAGACTCCCAAGTTCTCAAGCACTTAAGTTTCTCTCCAAGTTCAAAAAAGCAGTTTAAGCGACGCGCGGTCAAAGACGGTGGTCACTTACGGTTGGAAACTGCCTGGTTGCTGTCCCGAGTGCTCCTGTGTTTTACTAACAGCGCTGCTCTGTAGTTCAGAAATCCCTAAATAGAAATGTAGAGCTCTGGGCGCTTGGCTTTTAGGCTATGGAGAGCACTGGGATATTCCCTGACCTCTTCCCAACTCCTTGACTTGCAGGAAGAAGAGCAGAAGCCGGTAGATCCGCCCGTCAAAGTAGAAGAGCCTCCCGTAAAATCGCCTGATGTGTAACTATCCTTTCTGAATAGCCCAAAGCCAAACTGGGGGGAATTGCGGGAGCTCTGTGGCCGGGAGGGAATGTTGCCTTCTCCAAATGCTCCCCAACTCCTTTGCCAGGCTTGGTGAGGCTCTCCTGGAGCTAAAGGAGTTGTCGCTGCACCACGGGGACCTCAAATCCTGTGTTTTAAGCCCAGTTCCTTGTGTTCGATGGTTTTACAAGGAGGTGTTTTACTTGGATCACCAGCCAAGGGCTGCTTTTTTCCCTGGCTTTGGCCACAGGAGAGTGAGGAAAAGGATTCCCGCCGGGAAAGGACGGAGCAGTGAAGAGCTCCAAGGGCAGGGGGCTGGCGCGAAGCCTCCCTGGGCTAGCAGAGCCTGTTGAATCGCCCTCAGCTGGGCGAGATGAAGCCCGCTGGGCTTCTCCTTGCGTGGGGACAGCTTGGGGACAGCTTGGGGACAGCGCGTGCTGGCACTTGAGCAGGAGGGGGCGTCCTGGGCCCGCCGGTGGCGGCGCCGCCGGGACACCCGGCCAGCGGCACGTCCCAGCTCCGGGGCCAAATTGCTTCCTGTGAAAGTGTCATTAAACCATTACTACCTTTCAGGGCATAAAATGAGAAACCTGTCCAGGAATCTGGAACAAAAGCAGCACGTTTTTCTAAATGGGGGACCTTAATGAGGCTGGCTGTGACCCACTGTTTTATGGGAGTTGTTTGGAAGAGGATGATGCTATTTCATTTAGCCTGGGAACTTCCGAACTTTGTCTCTTCCCCTTTTGTTTTCTCCCTCCAGCCTCAGCTCTGTTTTCAGAGCATAAACTTGGGAGCCCGCCCACACCATTATATTTTCGTTTAGTCTTTTTACTGGTCCTGCTGTTGGCAGCTGCACGTTGTTAAAGAAGTGTGTGTTTGAAATGGAGCCCGAGCTGGGGATGCTGGTGCTGACCTGGGGAGAGTGGCCTGTGGCTGTCCCATGAACTAGAACAGAGCAACCCTTTGTATTTGAGGGCCATAAAGGAATAAAGCTCTGCAGGGCCTGCAGTTGAGGCTTTTGGCTTCTAACAAGAGCTGAATGTTACTGCTAAGAGCCTTAGGATGTGCAGGAGGTGATTTGCTCGACGTGGCCTCTTGCTGCAATATCCACCCCGCGTTTCGGAGCCTTCTGCAGCCCCCCTCTCTGAATCGCAGCGTGGTTCTCTTGCCTTAAGTGAAGGGATTTCTGCCCCTGAGCTTCCCTGGGCAAGGGCTGAGCCACTTGGGCATGGGGTTGGTGCTTCCGGCGATTTTAGGGCTCCCAGGCAGCCACCCATCCCTGCTAGAGGAATTTGGCAGCAGAATGTTGTCCGCCCAGGGCGCTCCCTAGGACACACGCACACATTCTGCCACTAACACACCGCAGGTCTTGGCTATAAATTCCGCAGTGTTCATCCTCCACTCCAGCATTGACCCCTGAGCTCTAGACTGGAGGGTAGTTGTGGCCCCATAAGGGATTGATGGTTGTGGCCCTTTATCTAAAAGCAGCCCCTCGGTTGTTATCGTAGGTGCTGCCAAAGGAGGGTGCTGAGGGAGGGAGCCTTGACACCTGCTATGGGTGCAAAGTTAACGGGACTGGTTCTGATTTGTCTCTTTTCCCCCCCTTTAGGAATACAGAAAAGAAAGTAGTGAAAATAACATCAGAAATATCGCAGATGGAGGTAAGGTTCTTTCTGCCTCTTCACCCCCTTCTCTGATGTGTCCATTTCCTTTCTCATTTTCCATAAAATTCCCCCCTGCGACATGCTGAGACACGTGTGTGTCAGTGCTTCCATAGCAAACCTGCTTTTCTTTTCCATGGTGTTTATATTAACGAGCAGTTGCTGGTTGTAGACTGCCCTAGCAGAGTGCTGACCCATTTAGGGTACGATCCGTATTTCCCTATCTACTATAGCTGACATGGAAGCACCGCTGCAGAATTCCCCAGAATTCCAGTCCTGGAGAACTGCGGCCAGGCCGATTGCTTCACACATGCAAAACCCCAAAGCTTTGGGGAATAATCACTTGGGGATGAACTGATAAGAGCCAGCAAATCATCTCATCTTTATCTCCTGTAACTTTATGACTTATATTTGCTGCATTTTTAAAAATAAACACCCTAGAAACTGCGGATTCCTCTGGGAGAGCTTTGCAAAACTTAGGGTTTCAGGAATCTGCTTCCATTTCTCTACATTTTCCCCTTTGTCTTTTTTTTTTCTTTCCCCTCCGCTTGAGCTCCGTAAGAAAGGCCTCGCTGTGAAAACATGACTCTTGTCTCCCTGCTGTTCAGCCACTGCTTTGGAGTTTTAATCTTCTGCTTGTGACACGAGCATTTCCCCAGCAACGGGCGCGATGTCGCAAGCGGAGGATTATGACCTCAGCCGAGGGGAGAAGGGAGAGAAAGCTGGAACCTGATGCAAACCAGGGGTCTTGCTAAAGGAGTGATGTCGCCTGCGCTTTGGGGGCTGCTCTTGCCAATAGTTGCTTAAAGAGCTCATTAAGTGAACTTGAAATTACACTTAATTACACTTTTTCTTTTTCCTCGAATTTTGGACAAACACAGGGAAAACACTTTTTAATGAATGTCAACCAGTCTCAGCAGAGTCCTGATGTAAATGTTTGGAGATAAAAGGGATTATTTTTTGTTTTCCACATAGTGCATAGTAGGAGGCATTGCAGGAGGATATTCAGATGCCAGAAGTGCAGGCGAGTTCCAAGAGCCCCTTGGAGAGCAGAGAAGCCCGTCAGGGTTAAACGAATGCAGCCCATAACTCAGGGTGTCATTAGCTGCGGATTCCGCAGGGTTGGGAAGGAATATAGAGGGCAAAACACCTTTTTGCTTTGATCTTAATGCTCTTCTAACATCTCCTTATGGGCACTGTCAGACAGGATGCTAAGGTGTGGAGGAAGTCTTTATTCTGAGCTAGGATGGCCCTTCTGTAGTGGAATCCTGTTAAAAGCTGCCAGCTTGGTGGCATTTCTTTTGAGTATTCCTATTCTTCAAGGTATTGGGGAGAGAACAAGGAGATATGCTTTGATCTGAATAATGCACATTTTTTTTCAGTCTTCAGTGTGTTTCTCAGTTGAATTAGAAGTTCTTTAGTCTTGACGCCCTCAGAAGTGAGCTCTAGTTCCTGATCTGTCTCTTCTAAACTCTAGTGTTTTGGTGCAGATATTTATTACACTCCTCGCTGTGTTTTTCTGCTAAAGTAAATGTTTCTATTAAACTAATATCTGTTTCTCTAACCTTTCAAGCTCCAAACACATTTTTGTGCTCTTGGGTAACAATAAAATGCTAAACATTTCCCTTCAGCTTTTCAGGGAATTTAATACTTGTAGGTGCAAACCTCGGCACTTCCCGGGTGTTTTGAGTCTCAGGCAGATGCTCCAGTCTCCTGGAAACCTCTCTGGCATCAGATCCGTCCTTTGTAGATGAATTTTGTCTTCAGTTGTGCTGCTAATGACAAACTCTGAGCCTAATCACAGCCTTGTCTCCTGTGGAAAGTCGTCCGTGTGTGTCAGCTCCCTGCTCCTGTTCTCCTTTGGCACGTCCCTTTTCCTAGTGACAGACTTAGTGACAGAGCAATGAAATATCTTTCAGGGCAAGGCAGCTAGAGCCCAGGAAGAAAAAGTGTTTGCTATTGCAACTGGCTGTAGCTGAGTTTTCTGCAAAATATGTATTTTTTATTATACCTGTATAAAAGCCATAAGATTTCTTTCTCGAGCGTGTGTTCCAGAGGTGGTGGGACCTGGCAGGGCGCATCCTGCATTGCATCTCCAGCCTCTTCCTGCCTGCATTCCCTTTTTCCACATGCTCCAGGTCAGGTCATGTCCGGCATTGCGTCTGCAGCCTCTTCCTGTCTGCATTCCCATTTCCCATTCGCTCCAGGCCTTTGCTCTTGCTCACCTGCTCCCTTTCCTCTCCCTGCTCCAGAGAATGCAAAAGAGAGCGGAACGCTTCAACGTGCCCGTGAGCCTGGAGAGCAAGAAGGCAGCCCGTGCAGCTCGGTGAGTCTGCGTCCGTGGCCTTTCCTGCTTTGGTGGCCCCTGGGGACACTTTTCTGGGTGGCAGATTGTGTTGGGGCGGGGCACAGACGTGGATCTCGAGGTGGCCTCTCAAGGCAGGAGACCCGCTCCGGAAAACTGGGATACATCCACTTGTGGAGCACGGGAGCTTTACAGGTTGTTAGGGCTGAAATACCAGTTAAGTAGTCTGGAAAAACAGAGTAATGAAAGGGAAAAGTAGCTAATTGTGTGTTAATTGTAAATCCAGCTAGGTTTTTTTTTTTTTTTTTTTTTTTTGGGACATTGAGGTTGCTTCTATGAAGTGTTGAGCTGCTGTTTGCAGAGAAAAGGTGAGAGTTGCTGCAGTAGTTACATGAGTTGGTATTCCTGGATTCCAGTAAATCTTGAGTGCACTTAGAAAAAGTGAAGGAAAAGGTGACACTTCCCCAGCTGTAGGTCTTGGAATGCTGGATATTTTTCTCCCATGTATCTGCCCAAGTCTCTGACAAAGCTTTGCTTGCTTTCCACAGGTTTGGAATGGCCCCAGTTTCCACTAAAGGTGAGGAGAACACACAGAACCAGGTTGTGGAGTGACTTTACTGCAGATCTTCAATTATTTCTGGAAAAAAGTCACTAGTGGGACTCTTTTTGCTTTGATTTCTGTCTGTTTTTCACTCAGAAGCTCTGAGTGGGCAATTGTAGAATTGGGATGAAAGGACAAGTAATCCCTGGTGCTTCAGCCACTTGCTAGCACCTACTTCTGAGCACAGCTGGGAGACACCAGGCTGACTGGGCTATCTGAGCACCAAACCCTCTTCAGATTCCTCAAAAAATGCCAGCTTTATCAGTCGTAGCAAGGTGAGAATGGCAGCGATTTTGCAGCTGGAGTAGCCGATTAGGAGGTGAAAAAGATTTGGAGACAAGTTGTGTAGTGAGCAGAGGTAGAAACCGGGGAGAAGGGGTCATGGGTGCCTGGGGGTTCCAGCAGTTGGGACTTGGCTGAACGTCCTTTCAGATGAGCTTCTGTTCGTAATTCTCCTTTTCTAACCATTTTTCCCCCTTACTTCCTTGTTTCAGGCCTCTCTGCAGACAGCAAACCCACGGTAAGACCTTCTTCTTGCTCAGAAACTGTTGCTGGCCAGGCCTCTAACCCGAGCTGTGGTTTCCTCCCGGCTTGGGTGCACTCTGAACTGCCCAAATGGTCTGAGGAAGGACCTCTGTGGGACACGAGTTTAATGAAGCAGCCCGACTTGATGCTCCACTTGTACTGAAAACTAGATAGGTCCCCATCCCTTCATAGGGTCCAGCTGCCTCTTGTGACTTGCAGTTTTCTCAGATTAGCTGTTTTTTTTTCTTTTTTTTTTAAAGAGTGAAGTACTGAAAGGAGCAAAAAGGGGTGTTTGATTTGTTTCACATGCCTGTTCTTCATTCTCTGTCTTTGAGGGACTTGAATTGTGCGTCAGGGCTGGAAATGATGAATGACCTGTAGGAAATTATTCTGTGCTTGCAAGGGGCAAAGCTGCTTGGCTGGTCTGATTTCCAAGTCTAAGTAGGGAGCAGCAAAGCTCGCAGGGCCCTGCGTCCCAAACATGCTGAGCAGCTCCCTTGGTGCTTGTCCGTTGCAAAGGAGGATGAGTGGAAGATGCACCAAGCTCATTCTGAGCCTGGATCTCTCCCTAGGGAATGTTACAGGTTTCTCTTGTGCCAAGTGTGCCAAGATTTTGCATGGAAACCTGTGCAGCAGGATAGCACCAGGTCTTCCTCCATGGAATTCCTTCCCTTCATGTCTGCTCAGCAATTTCCTTAGGGATAAGTGCCACAGCAGTGGCTTTTCTGGGGAATTTCACTTATTTTGGGAAGAGGGAGGATGCAGCAGTGGTTTCCCAAGCCCATGGCAGCCAGAGCAAAGCACTAGACCTAGGAACCTCATCAGCTTTGTTGGGAAAGCTTAATTTTGTGTTGCTGCTACAGGAGGACTGGGCACTGGTGCCGATACCGGTCCGAGTTCCTTGGAGACGGGGAGTGGGACCTGTCACGGTCATTCCCCGTTTGGATATGGGTTTTTTGGGTTATGGGCCCGGCTTCCCCTCGGTGCCCGGGGGAGTTGGTGGGAATTGGCCGAGCGTTGGTGCTGCAAGGAATTCCCCCAGGGCAGCTTTTCCATGAGCGGGGTCTGTGTCCTGGGACACCTTCCCAACAGGCAGCGGCCTCCCCAGCCCTGCGGTTTGAGTGACGCCGGCTTGGAAAAGAAAAGAAATAAATTGTTTCCTATGTCTTTGTAGGTAAACATGGATAAATTAAAGGAGAGGGCTCAAAGATTTGGGTTGAATGTCTCTTCGCTCTCCAAGAAGGTAAGGTGCATTGGCCTCCAGGATAGTCCCTGCACCTCCAGCCTAGCCCGGGGCTGCAGCTCCTAGCGTAGCCTCTCCCGACCTTCCTGCTGCTGGCTTTACGTGTGGCTCGTGCAGGGGAGGCCCATCAGCAGCTTTCCCTGCGTCTCTCCCCCTGTTTCTTTGCGGTGTGTGCAGCTTGGCAGAAGTTACGGCCTGGGAGCGGAGGTGGTGAATTCTGAGATCGCTCCTCAGAGCTCGGAGGGACCCTTTTGGGTCAAATCGGTTTGTTTTCAGGTGTTTGATATGTGCTGTTTAAGTGCACGTTTCAGGCTCGGGCAGGAGCCAAGTGTGTGAAGAGGAAAGTCATGAGCTCTCCAAAGACGCGTGCAGAGCTCCCTGGTAGGAAATAACTCCTGATGACATGAGCTTGGTAGGGGGCTTTTTTTTTGTCTTAAAACTGCTTATTTTACGTGAAAAATCCCTCTGAGCTTCCCTTCTTTCCCGGTCCTCGTGTGTAGCGGGCAGTTTGTTCCCCACCGTTTGCTAGGAAGGCACCGGGAGCGCTCGGAGCGTCCTCCCCGCTCCCTCCAACGCCTCCCGTGGCAAACTGGGACGAGGCCGAGTTCAGCGTGTCGAGGCAAAGCAGATCCCCCAGAGACGGGATCATAAATATACTCGGAAAGGATAAATATACCGCAAAACCGTTGCGACATCCCGGGCGCTGAAATAGCCTTTTTCCCTGCTCGGCGCTCAGGCCTCTCGCGCTCGGAGAGGGCTGCAAAAAGGGATCGTCCAGCCCTGGTGGCTGGATAGTGTTGGCATGGAGAGCTGCCGTCGGAGGGAGGCTGCTCCTTCCTCCATCCCTGGGCCGGAGCCCCTCTCCTCCTCGGGGGGATGCATCTGCCCTGTTTCTTGCCGCCGGTTTCTCCGTGTTGGAGCGTTCCGCTCGCTGCCGCCGCCGCTGGGAACGCACTGATGTAGAAAATAGCCCGCAGTGGAGCTCGCTGGGGGTTTCCACCCCCCTTCCCTCCCCGCTTCCCTCTGTGCTCCCTTTGGGGGTGGGGAAGGAGCCGGGGCCTCGGAGCCGGGCTCAGAGGCTGCTCAAGCATCAGGAACCTGGTTGCGGGGAGCTCCCGGTTCGGGGAGCAGTAGCTGCCTCGTCACCGTTTATGGCCCCGGGCTGGCACGCGGGGATCCCGCAGCGGCCCCGCGGCCTCTGTCCCCCTTTTCTTTCCCCTTTCCTCCCCCCTTTTTTATTGGCTTCACCAGGAAGCCGAGTTCATGAGCTTCCAAGCGGCTTCTCCCACCGAGCGGAACCCGCTCCCGCATTCCTGGGAGGAATATTATTGGTTCCTTCAATTAGCTGCTCGTATTGTGCTTCCCACCTGGGTGTTCTTTATAGCTTTTCATTACGGAGGAGCCTGGCGCTCGCGCCTGTTTACATGCGGCGCGGCAGGTTCTCGTAGCGCGCGGCGCTGCAAAAACTTGACAATAAAGCATTGTCTCCCCGGAGCCACACTTCATTTCCCATTCAGATTGCGCGGGGAAGGGCTGCGGATGCAGGGGGGCGAAGCGGAGCCGGGGGGATTCAGAGCCGCGCTGCCGGCTGTGAACTCAGCTCCAGCTTTGAACCCCCTTCCCCCTCTGGTAGCGCTCCGTGCTGGAGGAATCTTCCAAGGTTAAAATGCTCTCCGGAGGGAAAGCGGCCGCGCGGAGCGGCGCCCCGGGCAGGTGCTCGTGTGTCCCGGGCAGCAAAGGGGGTTGTGGAAGGAACGGAGGTGGCGGCTGCCCCCGGTACCGCGCACGCCGCCTGCCCCGGGGCTGCCGCTCGGTCCGGCGTTGGGTTTAACCCCCCCGGCGTTGGGTTTAACCCCCCCGGCGTTGGGTTTAACCCCCCCGGCTTGGAGCCGGCCCCTCCCCGCAGCAGCTGCTCCCCGCGGAGCCGGGGCAGCCCCGGCTTCGGGATGCAGGCTGCGATGCTGCCGAGGGGGCAGCGAGCCCTTCTCCCCGCGCAGCCTTGGCTCCTTGTCTGTGAAACAGCCCCGTGAGCGTCCTGCTGGGAAGGGCCGGCACCAAACGGGCAGCAGGAGGCCTCGGGGGCACATGAAAGCCCTGCTCGGCACCTCCGCGCCGCCTCCTCGAACACCTTCCCCTCGGAGCAGGCTCCGCTAATTGGCTCCTGTATCTCCTGTAACGCGGGGGGCTCGGGCGGCCTCGCGAGCAATTAGCTGATTAACCCCCTGCCAGCCGGGGGCTGCACTCTGGGGTCGCACATCCCGCCTGGAGCACCCCTGTGTGTCCCCTCCATGTGCCCTTGTCCTGGGGTCCTCGGCACGGAGCCCCTTCCCAAGGGGAGCCGCGTCCCCCTGTGCCTTTCCCTGTGCCAGGGCGCTTGTGCCGGTGCTGCAGGTGCCACCCAGGTGCCTCCCGCCGTGTTCCCGTCGTAGTTCCCGTCGCTCCCGGCTCTCATGCTCATTTCACTCCCCATAACAAGGATTTTGCTTTCCGTGCGGCTCCACTTTGCTGGCGTGCATGAAGGAAGTGGCTGTCTCCAGGATAACCCGGCTCTTAGTGCTTCCAACAGCAACCTTTTCCCAGTTTATCCAGTTGATCCGCTCCTGCGGTTCCTACATCCTGGCGTCAGGCTTGGCCGAGTTGCTTGGAGGTGAGAGAATGGGGAAAAGAGCTGAGCTTTGCTCTGGTGTTAGGGGAGCACTGACTCTTAGTCCAGTCCTGGATGCGGCGTTGTTTTTCCATGGGGCTGTTCAGAGCTTGGGAATTCTGCCGTGGGTCTTGGATGCGCGTGTGGGAATTGGGCTATCGGAGGGTGGGAACAGAAAGGCATTTCCATGCGGATCCTGCGCCCTGGCTTTAGTGGACGTTCCTGTCATGCAGCTGAGCAAAATGGATTAGAGATCTTATTGGATCCGATTGGAGATCTGTATGGATTGGGAGCCAGCACTGTCACCTCCTGGTTTGGATGCTCGTCCGTCCCTCTGTGCTCGATTCCCCCAGCAAAAGCTCCAAGTGAAGCTGGAGATGCCGGAGCCACCCCAGTTTGGAGAGGAGGGAATGCGGGGATTCTGCTGGGCATTCCGGAGGGTTTTCTGTGGAGCCGGAGGCCGGACACGACCGCACGGACAGTCCCCGTGCTGTCACTTTGTGTCCCCAGCTCGCTGATCCGCTCGAGGACTCCTCGAGGCGAGGAGAAAGAGCCAGGAGGGCCAAATCCACCGGGATGCATTTCACAAAGGTGCAGGCGACAGCTGGGCGTGCGGGATTGCAGTGTTGGGGAGAATAACGGGGAGCCGCTCTCCTTCCCTCCCGCTGGGAAATTGGAAGCGCGCTCGCCCTTGAGCGCTCCGGAGCCGTTCCCTGTGGAGGTCAAGGCCGTGTCGTCATTAATCTCCCGTCGCCTGAAGGCCCCAGGGTTCTGCTTTTCATCCCGCCATCCGTCACGTGGCTGCGGGAGCTGGGAGAGCGGCCAGCGCCGGAGCCGAGGCGCGGGGCTCCGAAAACCGGGAACGCGAGGCCCGGAGCGGCCTCCGTGCGCGAGGCTGCCCTGAGTGCCCAGCGCAGCCTCTCCGAGCCTTCCCTCTCATTGCTCCGGCTCCTTCGTGGTCGGCCTGGGATTCCCGCTTCCCATGCGGAGACGTCCTGGGCAGCTCCGTGCGCTGCTGGCTGCAGCTCGCCCGGATCCGGATCCCTTGGGGCTGGATCCGCGCGGGCAGCTCCGCAGCCGCTGGATAGTGCCCATGGAGAAGGGAATGAGCAGCGGGAGCTGCGGGCGAGCCCTTAAACATGGGACCTACCTCGGCCTCCTGGATTCCGGCTGCGTGGGCATCTCCACGCCCGGAACGGCCGCGTAGAACCGGGAGCAGCGCAGTTAGTGCCGCGCAGCGCAGCCGCGTGCCGCCTGCCAGTGCCCTCGCGCCGCCTGTTTCCCAGCTCCGAGGAGAGACTTTGGGCTACTGGGCTCGCCCTTTCTCCCGCAGCCTTTTCCAAGCTCTTCCTCCCCATTTTGCGCCCCGCTTGCTTTTAGCACTCGACAAAATCACCGTCGTGGCCGGAGCGTAAAGGGAGCGGAGGGGGCAGCGGGCAGGTGAGCGAAGGCGCCGGGGCCGCCTCTGTGTGCTGTGCCGGTGCCCGGTGCTCCCCGTGCCTGGCTGAGAGGGGACCCGGTCAATGCGCCCAGGGACCTGAGGGGAGGATGTGGAGGAAGGGGCCAAGCCCTTCTTCATGGTGGCCATTGCCAGCACAAGGGGCAATGGGGACAGTTTGAAGCCCAGGCAGCTCCACGTGCCCGTGAGGAAGAACTTCCTTGGTGTGAGGGTGCCTGAGCCTGGCATAGGCTGCCCAGGGAGTCTCCTGCTCTGGAGACCTCCCAAACCCACCGGGATGCGCCCCGGTGCCCCGTGCTCCGGGTGTCCCTGCTGGAGCAGGGGCTGCGCTGGGCGATGACGGAGCCGAGCTCCTCAATTAACGCCCCGCGGTCGCCTGTGTTGCCACAACACGCGGCCGCGGCGCCGTTAATGAGGCCGCGGCGCTTGCGTAAGAGGCGGCAGCCGCCGCGGGGCCACCTGCCGGTCCCGGTTCGGCTCCCCCGGCTGCCGTTCCGGTCCCAGCGGAGGTTTCGCCCTGGCCAGCGGTGCCCGCGCGGGGTCCTCTCCCGCCTCCCGGGGGAAACACCGGGAAGGGAGCTCGGCCAAGCGGTGGGCAAGGAAGGGACAGGAGAACGGCCGAGTAACCGGGAGCCTGGGCTGTGCAGAGGCTCTGGGCAAGGGCAGAAAGAGCCCCCAAACAGTGAGAAACAGCCCCCCAAAAAGGGGGTGACGATTAGTGTCAGCTATTGCTGGTGGCCAGGACGCGAGCGTGGGCGGGGGGCAGCACATGTAAAAGCATCCAGTTTTTATGGAGAACCTTAAGAAACGAGGACCTGGAGGCCTGGGGTTGGAATTTGCTTGGAATTAGCTCGCTCGGGGTAGGAAGAGGCGAGACGGCAGAGCAAGGCTGAGCTTCCCCCTGCGGCCCAAAGCCGCGGGCGCTGGGCAGGAGGAAGGTGGTTGACCGTAACGCGCCGCTTTCGGGGCCTTGCCGGGAAGTCACCTCTTTGTCCTCCTTTGTGGCAGAGCGAGGAGGATGAGAAGCTGAAGAAGAGGAAGGAGCGGTTTGGCATCGTGACGAGTTCGGCCGGGGCCGCAGCTACAGAGGACACAGAGGTAAAGGGGCTTTGCCAGGCCGGAGAGGCGGAGGAGAGAGTGTCCCGGGAGGTGGCATTATGACTGCCCACCTGGGACGTCCCTGCGCTGCCGGATGCCATCCCTGTCCCTCGTTCCCTGCCCCTCGTGAGGAGTCCTGAGCTGCTGCTGTCCCGTCCGCTGTGGTTTTTCCCAGCTCCTGCTGGGAATAGGCGGCTTTGGAGCGCAGCGAGCTGAGAGCTGCTTGGCCTCCAGCTCCTCCACCTACAGAGCAGCACGGAGGGCTCCCCCAAAGGCAGAATTCCCCCAAATTGCAGGTTTTCACCACTCCTTCCCCCCTGCACTGACACACTCTGGCTGCTCCCCTTCCCTGCACTCTCTTCGCTCTACTCCGCTCGCTTCCCCTCGGATGGCTATGGTAGGTCCCCATCAATAAATCCACGGGGATCCACAACATAGCAGGGAGCCAGACACGAGCGCAGGCTTCGCTCCTCTGCTCCACGCTGCTCCAAACACCCTTTGCTTCAACACAGAGGGCTCCTCCTGCCCCGGGCACCCTTCTTTTCCCAGGCAAACAGCAGGAGGGTGAGTGGCTGTGTCCCCAAAACCTCTTAGATGGCCCCGGGATTGGGCGTGCGAGGGGCAGGTTCCCTGCGCTCCCGACGGGATGGCTCCCTAGGAGCAATCCCAGCAGTTCGGATGGGGTCTCGGGAGCTCCCTGGGTTTTCTCTGGAGGCTCCTGCTGAAGGGAGCGGCGTTCCCAGCGCTGGGCCCGGCAGAATGAGCTCCCTATTGAGGGCGAGCGGAGGGGGCGGCTGGGCTGAGGGATTCCATGCTTTTCCGTTAGGTCACTTATGGATTGTGCCTGGAACAAAAAGGTCTTTTTACTGGTATTGTGTGCACTCAAATGCACCTTTCCCCTGGAGATTCTTGATTAGGGCTTCTGTTGCCCCCGGGCTATTTATCCTGCTAAAAATTAAGATTTATACGCCCCTCGTGTATCGGCTTAAAGGCATATCTGAGAGACGGAATAGTATATTTAATGCCTTTTAGTGTGTCCCTCTCACCTTTTCCATGAATAGAAGAGTGTTAACCCTTTGCCCTTTTACATTTCCCACCTCCCCACTGCCTGGAAGGGTTTCGAGGCCTCTAAAGTCGTCATTGTTCCCAGCTCCAGCCCTTTTGTGGCGCGTTGCCCACAGGATACAGTGCTGCTGAAGGCCCTTCACCTCAGGGCACTGTATGCCTGTGCTCTGGGATTTTGGCGGCGGGGCTCTGTTTGTTTGGGTGAAAACAGGGTAAAAACCTCGTTGGCACCTGCCTAACCCGGGTATAAAACACGCTCTGAGCGACAGCGACGGCCTTGGAGCCACGGGTGGCATCTGCACCGAGCGGCTCGTGCGGGAGAACACAAATAAAAACACTTGCTCATTCGTTTCTTCTCTTTTGACTTAATTTCTCTTGCAACTCTTCTTTTGCAGGCGAAGAAGAGGAAAAGAGCAGAGCGCTTTGGGATCGTGTGATGTCCTCCCGTTCCGCCCCAGCCCGTTCGCAGTGTGCCTCTTGAGTGCGTGCATACACTTCCTTCCTCACTCTCTCCCTCCCCTTCCCTCACTCCCACACTCTCTTTCTCTAGGACCTAGTGATGAGTAGACAGGGAACCCCCCCGTAGTTGTACGATTGTGCTACTTATTTTTTCAAGTTGCAAAGTTTTAAAAAGAAAAGATGTAGAGCGAAAAGAAGGCGCTGTTCTTATTGCATCTTTGGTGGCCTGCGGTCTGGTTCTGTTTTCCTGCTGCTCATGTGGTCATTCACAGCAGCTTGAGCCAGGTGCGTTGTCCGTGTGGATTGGATGGAGAATATCCCTGTGCCCTCGAAGCGCTGCTGGGCAGTGTCTGTATTGTGCGCAGGAGAGAACCGCATTCTGCCTCTTCAATAGAGCTACGATAGGACCCAAAGCCTCTGCTACATGATGAGAAAGGGTAAGAACGTTCAGGAATGAAGATAGAGCAGGGTTTATTATGCCCTCAACAGTTGCTTTTCTCGTTTAAGAATTCAAGTTATGCTGCTAAAGCAAGGAGCTATTTGGAGCGTCGCTCTCTGGTCTGCTCGTTTCGGGGCTGTTACCGTCCCTGGGACTGACCTGGTCCTCTTGTCCCACCTGCAAACGGGCCCTCAAATTGAGCTGGTTCCTCTTCTGTGCCCAGCCGCTCGGTCGGGACCCTTCGCCCCGAGAGCCAGGTCCTGCTTTGGGTCCTGCTTTGGATCCGGGGCCTCTTACCTTCTGGCTCCTCTGCAAACCATCCAGGTGAACAGCTAGGAAGGCCTTTCTCTGCGGTTAACGTCTCAGATTGCCACAAACGGAAGGGTGGCAGAGCTCGTGGGAGGTTAGCAGAGTGAGGACTAACCTTAGATGGAGGCTGGTGCCCTACAACAAGGAGGGGGAAAGCGGCAGCGTGTTGGCAAGCGGAGCCTGCCGGGTGCTGCATCCGCCGGCCGCGCGAGGCCCTCGGGGTTTGTGCCGCTGCCTCCGTGCTTCCCAGGTCCATCAAGCTCAGTGATGCATTTCTCTCCTTAAAGAAACCTTCTTTATTCTCAGGCTGGATTTTATTTTGTCCTCTTCTTGCTTCAGAGCATCTCTGTCGAGCTGGATAACCCCCAGACTTGCTGAAGGAACCGCAGTCTTCTCCGAGCTGCCAGCCAGTGCGGGAAAGCTCCGGTGTTATCCTAGGACCCGTGTTTTAAAAGCCTTGGAAGTTCTTGGTAGCTGTGCGGGAACTCGGTTCCCTCTGCTGCGCTAACAGTAGCCGGTTGGGTGAGACGGCCGAAACCCTCTTGGCCAAGTGGCGCGAAGGGCAGCGTTGTCCCGGCTCGCTCAGTGCTTTTAGGTGCGTTTCAGCCTTTCGAGCGGCCCCCCTGTTCTTAGGGAGCTGCAGCGGGCGGTTGCTGGCGCTGCCCTGCATGGCTGGGAAGCAGCGGCGAGCGCAGGAGCCTGGAGTTGCCGGGGCTCCCGAGCGGAGCGAGGCTCCCGCCGCCCCTCCTGGAGAACCGGCCGCTCGCGAGCACACTCCTGCCCTCTCCTGCAGTGCTTTCCCGCACGCTGGTGCCTGCACCCCAGGCGGAAGCAGAAATTCACCCATCTGCCCGCATTCCTACACGGGCATTTTGACCCAAATCCTGTTTTATCCTCACATTTTTATTTCTGACCGTAGCCTCTTGCTGGAGAGACGTTTGCGCTGTCCGCGCTCCATTAGGATACCGGAGAACAGCGGCCGTGTCTCCAAATGGAGCTTTCCAGGGGCTTCGACCTGATTCTTAGTAAGCAATAGATAAATATTTTTCATGGGACAGCCTCCAAACTGCTCCGGTTCCGCTCTTGTCCCCTTGTGTCCATGCACCCGTTGCGACTGAGCAAAACCTCCGGCGTCTCCTTCCTCTCCCAAAGGGCAGCTAAAAGCCACGGGGTCCGGGTCACGTCGCCTTGGGATGCCGGTGGCCGAGTGAATCGAAGCTCCCTTGCTCCTTCCTGCTTTAATGTAATCGCTTGACTCCGCTCGGGGTTTTTGTTTGGTTTTATTTGTATGTCGGGTTTTGTAAGATGTGTTTTCGAGTTGGCTCCCGGTCTCTTCTGCTCGTTACTGGCTTGCAGCGTTGCACAGCGCGCCAGGGCAAACACTGCATTTCATTCCCGGTTTCATAATAAAACTGCTTCTCCCAGGCAATGGTGGCGTCTGTGAGCGCGGCGGATGGTGCAAGCGCGGGCACCAGGGGCCGCGCGGGCCGGGGCCAGCGCCGCCCCTTGGGAGAGCTGCTCGCGTTGACTCCTTGCAGCCTTGGCCGGCTCCTCGGTGCCCTCTCGCCTCCGCGCAGGGGCCTCGTGTTGCGTTTGGAGCGGAGCCGCCCGCTGCCCGCGCGAGCGCCGCGGCCGCCTTCGCCGCGACCGCGGGGCGCTTCGGAGGGGGCGGCCGCCTCCCCGAGGATCCCCTCGCCCTGCGGCGCCGGGGACGCTGGAGCTGTCCCCGTGTCACAGGGGCTGCCGCCTCCGCGCGGAGCCAGGTGGGGACGGTGCCGCCGCGGCGCGGGCAGGAGCGCGGGCCGGCGCAGGTAGGACACGAGCGGCGCCTCCTGCGCGCCGCGCTCTTCCCTTCCCGCCCGCAGCGCAGTCACCCTAGGCATGCTGTGTTTAAAACCCCACCTAATTTATTTTTCCTCTCCGAGCTGGGGGCTGCTCGTGACTAATTTGGGCTGAATAGGCGCCGAGAGAAAGCGGCGGGCGCACAATGAGCGGGGGGAAAGTGTGGGAAAGCGAGCGAAAGAAAAGGAGGGCCGGGCCTTGCAGCGTGAGAGCTGGTAAGGCCGCGCGCGGCCCAAATGCAGCATGAAGTCACCTTTCAGAGCAGACGCCGGCGCCGCGAATGCGCGCGGGCGCTGTGGGTCAGGCGGCGGGGGGGCGGCCGGTGCCGCGCGCGCTCCCGCGCGGCCGCCCCGCGCTCCCAGCGGCCTCTTGCCCCCGGAGCCGCCGCGCGCGGGAAGGGAAGGCGAAGGGGGGGCGGGAAAGCTGCTTTTGTTTAAATTGGCAAAAATAGGGAGACAAAAGAGCGGGGCCTGGAAGTGCGTTTGGGCCAGAGGAGGATTAACGGATGCGCTGCCGGCCGCCCCCTGCGCTCCGCGTGCCGGGGCTCCCGCGGGGGGCCCGGCCCGGCCCAGTTTGTCCCCGTGCCAAGTAGGTCAGGCGCGGGCCGGGGTGCCGCGGGGCGCAGCCCCCGGGGGCGCCGGCCGCGCCGCAGCAGCAGCGAGCGCTCCTTAGAGCCGGCGAGCGCGGGGCGCCTTCCCGGGGAGCCGCCCGGCGCCCTCCGCGCGCCCGTGTCCCCGCGTCCCCCCGCGCTCCCGGCCGCTGACCCCCCCACGGCAGCGCTGTAATTAGCTGCGGCATTCCCGGCATACCTGCGGCTCCTAATGAGGCTCCATAAAGGCTGCCCGGAGCCGCTCTGCTCCTGCGGCACTTGGGGACACTTGTAAATCTGCGCTGTGCAGCTTTGCGCCGCGCGGGAGGCCTCCCGTCCTATGTGTGCCGTGGGGAGGGATGCGGGAACGGGCTCCTGCTCCTGCCGGGATGCTCCCAGGGGACGGCTCCTGCGGAGCAGAGCCCGTCCCGGGACACGAGTGACTTTGGGGTCACTTCACCTTGATGTTTCTGTGCTGCTTTCAGGTCACCGAGAGGAGAGGCCCTGGAGGGGCCTAAGGGGAGAGCCGGGCCCCGCGCGTTCGCTCCGGCCGGGACACGAGCGCCGCCGCATCCCGGGTGCGGGCTTTAGGCTGGATTTCTTCCCCTCTCATGTGCTGCTCCGCGGCGCAGGCATCAGGGAGCGTGGGAAAAATGAGAAGCATCAGGAAACATATTTCCCGAGGCCGGCGGAGCCGGGGTCAGCGGAGCAGGGCCGGGCGCGCGGGGGGAGCCGGGGGCTGCGGTGACGCAGGGGCCTGCTCGGAGCATCCGGAGCCGCTCGGAGCATCCGGAGCTGCATGTAGCACCTAAAGCTTCTCCAGAGCCATGTGGAGCATCCGGAGCTGCATGGAGCATCCGGAGCTGCATGGAGCATCCGGAGCTGCTTGGAGCATCCGGAGCCACTCGGGGCATCCGGAGGCACTAAGAGCCTCCCCGATGGGGTGACACATAGGAGCATCACAGTGACACAAGGGGGGCATTGCGGTGACCCAGGGGACCTGCCCCAGAGCCGGGGACCCCCAGAGCCGGGGTCACCCCTTGGGAGTCCGCCAGGGCCGGTGAGGACGACGCGGCGGGAAAAGCAACCCAAGCAAAACGCAGCGGCCGGCAGCTCTTTCCCGTTTGCTTTTTTGGTCTTTTTAGGCTATATAAATTTTTTTATTGTACAAAAAGTCTATATATATTAAAAAAAAAAAAAGAAAAACGAAAAAAAAAAAAAAAGTGGGACAGACGCTGTGGTTATAATACACACAGTAACCCAAGTTACAGACCGAATGTGGTTTGTCCATCACAGGAAAAGTGAGTTTCCAAAGGAAAGCTGACGGTCAAAGGGGCTGCTTCCCGGGAGCGCCCGGCGCGCGGCCCGGCCGGGCTCGGCAGCAGTGTTCCCGGGAGGAAGGATGGGCCGAGCGCAGGGGCCTGGCGGGCACCGGGAATGTCCCCTTGGGCAGCGGGACCAAGGCGGGCGCAGGGAGCCCCGGACGAGCCGATCCGGGATGTTGGGATGCCCCCGGCCGGCTGTGCCGTAGCCGTTCCTGCCGGGAACAGCCCTGCTCCGAGCTGGCCGTGCTGCTGCAGCCCCGCGGCGCTGGCACAGGGATGACGAGGTCCCTGGTAATCCATGGCTCCAGCACAGGGATGCCGAGATTCCTGATGCTCCGGCACAGGGATGCTGAGGTCCCCGGCGTTCCGGCACAGGGATGCTGAGGTCCCCAGCAATCCATGGCTCCAGCACAGGGACGCCAAGGTTCCCAACACTCCAGCATAGGGATACCGAAGTCCCCAGTGCTCCATGGCTCTGGCACAGGAATTCTGAGGTCCCTGACAATCCATGGCTCCAGCGCAGGAATGCCAAGGTTCCCGATGCTCCGGCACAGGGATGCCAAGGTTCCCAGTGCTCCATGACTCCAGCGCAGAGGTGCTGAGGTTCCCGGTACTCCATGGCTCCAGTGCAGGGATGCCGGACAGACGGGTGGGCACAACGCGGGCACGTGGATCAGCTCCGCGGATGCCCCTGGGAGCTGCCTGGAGAGCCGGCTGAAAGGCGGGAGCTGCAAGCTCTGAACTCCTCGGTGTCAGTTTTTCAACACGTTTTTATTTTTTGCGTTTTTGGGGATGTTCAAGTGCTGTCTGGCCGTGTGATGAACCCCCTCTGCCCACCGCAAGCCCAGAGCCCCCTGCCCAGCCCGGACCTCGTCCCCCGCTGCCCCGGCCTCCGGACGCCCCCTTGGCAACAACAGGAAAAGGAGGAAAAAAAGGAACAAAAATACCAGAAACCTCCCCAAAACAGAGATGGACGGACAAAAATAAGCTAAGACATCACGCACAGCAACGACACGCTGGGCAAACAGCCCGGCGGGGCAGCCGGCCAGCCCGGCACCCTTGGGCTCGGCCCCGGCCCTGGCAGCGCTCCCGGCTCCCGCGCGGACACCCCGACATCCCGGTGCCGGAGCGGGATCCGCCGCGGGGGGAGAGGCGCCGGGCGGCCAGGCTTGTCCAGGGCCGCGTCCCGGGCTCCCGAGGGACTCCGGCGCCCACCAGGCTGGAGCGCGGAGCAGGGACGGAGCCCTGGGATAACCCGCGGCGCGGAGCCGCCCGGAGCACCGCAGCCCTAAGTGCTGGGCGCGGGGCGGCCGCAGCCCCCCAGCGCCCCGGGAGCGGCCGCAAGTGCTAAAGGTGCCGGCGCCGGCCGGAGTGCCGCCGGAGCGGGGCCTAAGTGCTGCGCGGGGCCGCGCGCCGCTCCGGGGGCTCCGGCGCCCGCCCGGCCCCTCCGGATAAGTGCTGGGGCCGGGCAGGCGGGAACCCCTTCCCGCGCGGAGCCGGGCGCGCCGCCGTCCTGCCGCGGCCGGGGGGGTTTCTCCGCGTATCCCGGTCCCTCTGGAGCGCGGACGAGGCCCCGGCTCCCGTGGGTTCAGTAATAAATAAATAAATTAAAGAAGGGAGACGATGCCCTGGCGGGCCGG